CGCAAAGTGGTATTAATATTGCAAATGGAATTTTTTTTTGCGCTCGTGCCAAGTGGAGCATTTATGCTCTTTGGATTTTGTGGTGTCAGCATCTCGGACAGCGCCCCTTGTTGTTGTCCTCGGTGGGCGTGATGAGCGCTGTCCGCGGTGCTGAAACAGTCTGCACGGGCCACTTTGTTTTCAGCGTCCCCTCCCATCTCCGTGATTAATTGCCATTCTTCAGCCTTTCTGACACGACTTGTCGATTTCCCGGGCGCCTGTTTACTTGCATATCAGATGAACAAGCCACTATATGTATGCTGTTTACGAGTTGCTGTACCAATAAACCTGCTAAGTGCATAACAAATCAGGAGCGCACTGAAGTAGCACTTAGGAGTTCAGTGCCACTGCTTTATTAGCATATTCATGCGTTGCAGGGGTTACAGATGCAAGTCCAGATCTCTGCCTGATCGTTTTCAGTCGGGGAATGCTTACAGTTTATCGTCTGCCGATTGGTACTGTTAATACGTAGACTTAAGATTGTTGATTACCCACCCTGGTCCGTCGTTTTATCCATGCTCTGGGGATGCGGTGAGTGGATAATGCTCTGCGTCAGTGTTTCAGTCCGGGCATTTGCGTCGTCTCGCCTGCATCCTGTTTCAGGGCTTTAGCTGTTGTCTCTCACTGGGTTGTTTTATCCCGTTGAACACATCGGCGATGTTTTCTCTCAGAAACCAACTGCTGGCGTTGTTCACTACTTGCCTTTTTGTTCACACGGTTGTTGATTGCAGCCGGAGATGCGGAGACGTCCTTTGCAGAAATGATCAGATATGCTGCACGCAGGGAAACAACACCTCTGTTGTCACCTGTTGCCCGGAGTTGGTGAACTATACGTACTACAGCATCGCCATGGTCACCCGAAAACTTTCTGGAATACTTATTCTGCTGCTTCTCTTCGCGTTGGGATACTTTGTCCAGAGGGTGCTGTGTTCAAGATCAAGGCAGGACATCCCACCTCAAAATGGACAGCCAGCGGCCACCACATCGCAAGAAATGCTTATGGAGAGCTGTACACCGGACAGCTCGGCGGATCCAGCTGCCGCTGCGCATTTGCCAACATACGATGAATGCAAACATCTGCCGACATATGAGGAGACGGTTCGGGACGGAAAGAGATCGACGACCGGAATCCTGTGACGGACAAGCTACAAGGCACGAACACGTAGCACTATAGATTCAAGTATTCGATATTCGAGATATTTGTCACTATAGTGCGCATTTTTGGAGAAGAACGCACAAAATATCGCCAGGTGAATTTCCATACAACATGAACTGTATGCCTCTGGAAAATGTTTTCATCCAATTCCTCCATTTCTTCCAAAAAAAGTGTGTCCAAGTGAGTGTTCAGGTTTAGCTTAATTTTCTGCTAAATACTCTCAGCACTGAGGCTCGATTTATTATCATATGACATCTAATGCTTCATAGATTCGATGTGATGATATAACAAAGATAAAGAAAACAAAAAACAAGAGCAACAATTTTGCCAAGCCTACAGTATCTGCTCTTTAATCAGCCAGACTCTAATACAGCCTAGTAAAATAAATACAGTCAGCATTTACCACATTTAGATTATGTTTTTGCAGACTAGCCATTTAGAAAGCGAAAAGCTAATCAGTGGATTATCAGCATCTATCATTTCTTACATAAGTGAAATGAAACACTAGCCAAAGGAGACTGTTTACAGCCGAGAGTCAGTGCAACGCAACTAAATCATCCAAACCTATTTGCACTTGTCTTTGTTGCGCTTTTCCCCTGGGTTGACGATGCTGTCAGTGAGATACACGACTGTGAGATAACAGAATTGCGTTTAATAATTAAAAGGAGATACGGATATGCAGTTTCTAAACGCACACCTAATAAACAGCTTACCTGTTTATATGATTAGTGCATGTCTCCGTGGGCGTAAGAATCATAGAAATGTAACCAAAACATGGCATTTCTTTAAATACGATTTATTGTTGATATAAAGGAATTAAAGCAGAAGGTAGTGTCAGAGCTCATTCGTCATATTGTCAAATAACACATTGCTTATAAATAAATGTTAATGTTTGGTGTTTGTTCTGAGGTAGTGCACTGTATCCTTGATATTGTCTTTCACTGCACCGGGCTCTGACGGAAGTTTGACCACTTGGACCACTCGTTTAAAGGCCTCCTCAACTCCAAATCCCGTCGACGCAGAGCATGGCTGAACGAAACAATCCCGCTCCTGGCAGATCTTTCTCATATTGAATCTGTCCTTCATTTCAGTGACATTCAGCGCGCCGTCGACGTCCTGTTTGTTGGCGAGAAGAATCAGCGGACGGCCCCGGAGCTCATCATTTCTCAGAGTTCTTTCCAGCTCCCTTTGCGCCTCGTTCAGGCGCTCCTGGTCGGCACTGTCCACAACGAACACGATAGCTCCAGCGTTCTGGTAGAAATTCGGCCAGTGGTCGCGCATGTTCCCTTGACCGCCGACATCCCAGATGGTTATAGCTATTTTTCTCCTGTTCTTTCTGGCCTCGAGCATTTCCACGTTGAAGCCGATGGTAGGGACGGTGCTGACACTAGTGTTGTGCTTCAGTTTGTAGAGGAGAGTCGATTTTCCAGCGTTGTCCAGACCCAGCAGAAGAACTTGCACTTGAGGTTTGGAAACCCATAATCCCATGGTGAAGCGCAGATACAAAGGCTGTTAACTGACGCGGGACAGTCACATCCTCCGCACTGTGCCCGTCTGACGCGGTGTTTGCTTAGTGCGTTTACCGAGGTTTAATGGATAAGCCATTAGTTCCCTGCTAAGGCACTGTGTTCCGATAAGGCGTCACACCAGAGGGCAAAGTTTCCCGTTCCCCAGTTACACTTTTATTGGTCATGTATTCCATCACTTTATGTTTGTTATCCGAAGATATCAGGCTGACTAATGTGCATTCGTAAAAGTGTCAAAAGCGCACTGAGAACAAAACCGGGTACTCAAACACTTAAATATTAAAAACTAAATAATAGCCAATTACACCAAACCAGTTAAAGTTAAAAAGGACCGTAGTGGAAGGTGCCTTAGTGACTGGGATGCCTCAAACTGTTACAACATTTCGAAATTTGAATGACATGTCCAATCACGGAATTAAATAAGTGATACTTAAATTAATAAATAAATAAAACGTCGAAGCTCTTCCTGTTTGCATACACACAGTTCTTGTATTCGAACAAATTTCTACACGGGCTTGTCAGCCATGTTAAATATGAGATGGATGTTTCAACGCTGACATGCACATTAAAAAAATCAACTCAGATTCCAGTGCTTCTAGAAAACCAGAAGCAGCCAAACATCATAAACTTGAGGTCACGTCACGCACAACTTGCTTTTACCCCTTGTGGACATTCCGTCCTAAATCAAGGTCACTCCATCACATCCAAAATGCCATCGTTATTTTAAAATATTGTATTTTAATACTCGTGTATGTTGTATAGCACATACACGCGTAATTATAAACAGAAATAAAAGTCAAATAATTTTAAAAAAAGGAAAGTGGACAAAATCAATAATGGTTGGTCAGCCATTGGTAGGGTGCAGGTTTCACCATGACACCATCGACCAAAGCATTACAGCCAGGCCCCTTCCCTTTGTTTACTCTGCTTCACATCATTCAGAATAATAGAGCACCCAAAGACATAGACTCGGTGGCTAATCACCTCCCCTCACCATCCCCCTCTCAGTCTAACACTGAACATGTAAACAGAATAAAGAAACATCCGTTCATCTCAATGATCCGTCCAGCCAAATCCTCGGTAAGGTGAAGGTCGATTGAATCCACCTCACTGCATTGCGGGCGGGCACAGTGGAGGCTCACCTCACAGCAGGAAGATAAATCAACAACATCTGCTACTCTGTAAGATGCTCAACTGATTCCACTGATTAAATCATTTGTATTTCAGTTTTTTGTATCAAGATCTGGACCATTTCTCCTCCAGCTTCACCCACACCCCGCCGGTTGGGTTATCCATCACGTACACCAGTCCTCCGGTGTCACGGCGACGCAGGGGCCAAGAGTCGAGTTCTGATTTCTGCCTTGTCCGGGGGGAAGAGTGAAGACAGGCCGACTGATTGGTCACCCTCTTCTGAAAGCGGACAACTGAGCCTGGGGTAGAGCATGTGTCCGCTTTCTGGCACATGTCCGCTGCGCCATCGCTCTGAAAAATCGCACGGGCTTCAATGGAAGATTTGGAGCCATGCTGTCCCATGTTGTTTGGAACTTCGAGAAGATTCCTAAAAACGATCTAAGGGGTTTTTTTTAAGCCAGAAGTGGTGTATTCCTGCTTGTTAGTGAATCTCACGTGTCTTCCACGCGCACTGATCTCTCGTATAGCATGCCAAATTTAAATAAACAGCGGCAAAGCGTTCCCGTAAAGCCGATGAGTGACGCTGTTGATTTTTATAGTTATTAGACCACACTGGTCTTAGGAATTTGGATGAAGTCGTGTGGAGGCTATTCTGAGTTTGGCCACCTGGTGCAGAGTGTCACTGAACTTGACATTGACATCGCTGAGCTTCAAGGCTGAAGACTGCGGTGTTGAGTTACCTTGCAGACGGCAGCTCTGAGAGTGAGAGAGCTATTTGTGGTCTGGGAGAAGCATCCCAGAAACGCTCGGGTCACGTGTTTTCCCTCAATCTTAGTGTGACCTCACCCTCCTAGCCTTTGTGACTGTTGTTAGCTAGATTCTTTAAAAGAAATGTCTTGAGGTAAACATATGAGAAGCTGTTTGCATCTCCCCAAAATCTATATTTGCAACGGAAGGCACTTAAGACTGGAGTGCTCCAGTGGAGCTCTCCAACAGACCTGGCAGCAGGTGATGTGCATTGCATTTAATATATGATAAAATGTGGAAAGAATAAACACATCCAAATTGATCATGCCTGTCATGAGATGATGGAGATGAAAACGGTTGATATATTTCAGAGGAAAGAGTTTAATGCTTACAACTTTCTCACGTTAAAATCACGGGTATTTGTTTTATTGTAAACTTCTGCTCATGTACAGAAGGACAAAACTGAAAATACATCATACTGGTTTGGCAATCTGCCTGAGACATCCAAAAAACATAACAATAAATAAGGCATTGGGTAAACTGTTAAAATAAAAGAAAGAAAACAAAAGGAACAAAACTCCCCTCTCTCGACTGATGAAGTCATGATACACAGTGGTAAAAGGTGAATTTAAAACAGCAGTAAATCAAGCACGGTTTACGGTAACTTTCCTTGACAGACTGCGTCATTGACACCAGTTGTATTGCTTCGGGAGCATATTGTATTTCTAATCACAAGCATTCTGGCTGCAGCTGTACAGTTCGTGATGCGACATCGTTTAGTCTTTTAGTCTTTCGTGGTCGAGGTGTGTCCGTTGCACCTCCTCGCTTCGTGTGCTTCGCAGGTCGAAGACAGCCACCAGTGTCCGTTGCTGCACGCCGTTAGGTCATTCGTTCGTGAACATGGTTAAGCTGAAGCACATGCCCTGATACAGACAGTGTAAGTCCACTTGAATGGAACAGTTTGCGTTTCCTCCGTAGCCTCGCAAACAGGTGAGTGTCGGGCTCGACGTAGAGTGAAACCCGCTTGCGTTGCTGAGGGTAAACAGTGTTTACGTTTGCTGATATGTAAGAATTTACCATTCCAAAAAAATAAACATCTGAAAAGTGCTTTTTTTTTTTTAGAACCATATGTATTTCTGTGGAAGTTACATGTATAAGCCACAACATTTAAACCACTGACAAGTGGAGCAAGTAACCTTGATGACATCTCACCCACTTAAAACACTGCTGCAGACCAAGAATGGCCTCTCCCAGCAAGGCAACGCACTTTCAACCACTATATAAAACTGCCTACGAATAACTCCAGGGACCCCAAAATCGAGAGCCAACTGGGCATCAGATTAGAGCCACCACCGTGAAACCCACATGAGCCAAAGCATCCAGTGCCAACATCCCTGTCCCACACACCAACCTCTCAGAATTCCAGTGAATACACTCTGATGGATCAGAGGTGTTTGGCAAGGAGGATCCACACAATATTTGATAGGTGGTTATAAGATTGTGGCTCATGTAGTGTATGTGTGTGTTGTAGTTAAAGTCACATTCCACACACAAATTTCACTTTTGAGTATCACACACCTTCTACAGACTTTCAAAATGTTACGTTTCAGCCTTTATAGTCACTCGGTTAGGGTAATGTTGATTAAGGATTCTTCAGAGGTGAAGAAAATAACACCAGGTTTCCCAGGTGTGGATTGAAACAAGCCCCAGACTAAAAGAAAAATTAAATGAAGATCAACAGTGATTAAAGTTTATGGTTTAGGATCATGCTTAATCCATGTCTGGGAACAAGATGTAAATGTTCAAATAGCTGAAGAAACATCTGAGTCCACTCTATTGGAGATCTTGAAGGATAAGAACCAGAACGAATTTTTTTTTTGTCAATTTTAATGCAATGAAACAACTGACCCTCAACATTAAAACACATTTTGAAAAAATTATGGACATTCAGATCACCTTATGCCTATTCTAAGTTGATTAAATTGGTGTGCAATATTAAAAAAAAGGCTTATTTAGCATTTATTTGGTCAATGAATTATCAGATACTCCAAAATTGACTTCCAGCATCACTTTAAAAAAAGATATTTAATTTAAAGATGTTTAAAATGTGCGTCACCTAAAAAGAAAATTTTCAGCTCAATAAGCCACGAGCCCTTGTCACTGCTTACCTTCTACCCCCTTCTCTTTATGTGACTGCTTAGTTTTAAAATCTGCTGTACTGAGCATGAATTTTAAATAAATGCAAAAACAATAAATCTCCCAAAGCTTTTACCGTCACTCCTCAAGCCACAAAATAGGTGCTTAATACTCAAAAGTCATATGTGTGTATTGTCATCAGAAATTAAGTAGAGGTATGGATCCACTGGAGTCTTCTTACATTTGAGAAATTATTATTCCTGTTGGAAAGTCTAACAAATGCATACAATCAGAGAATCATCAAAATGCAGAAAGCCGGGTGGTGTTTTTGCAGATGGACAGTAATTGTTGTGCAGGCACTGGTTGAAGCCTTCTCTGAAGAAGCCTCCAGTGGACCTGTACCATTCGTGTGCGTGTGCATGTACAGTAAACAGCAGTGATGTCATCACAGTCTAATGTGTGCTGGTTAAAAGACCCCACCCCCCTCCCCTGTGTCTGGTAGTCTTGGTACTGTACTTCAATATTTTAATCAATTCCTCATCCGTTTAGCAGATGGCTGTGAACTGTATTGAATTTAAATGCCCCTTTTCCCCATCAGGTCAAATTAAATTGAGCTTCATTTTCTCATATCATTGCATGTGTGTGTGTACATTTCTCTGTATGTGTGTGCATTAGTTAAAAGCCCAGTCGAAATCTATACTTCTCCCAGTCCTTCCGTGATGATGTACTTACTGATACATCCAGAAGATGGGAAGAAAAATATACTGATCATGACGCAAGCTTTAAACTCGACCCTCACCTACTCCCCTGCCTTGCTGTTCCCCCCTGCTCCACTTTTAAACTTCACTACCATGACGGTGATGTTATCAGGGCAGCCACGATAGAAAGACTGTAGGACGATGCTCTTGGCACCAAAGTGAGGCTCGTCCAGGCGCTCGCGGACAAAGCGCACTGCCTCCTCGTTACTGAAGGCATCCCACAGGCCATCAGAGGCCAGGATCATGAACTCTGGCTGCAGTTTGTCCAGGTCAAAGGTCATTATGTCGGGGTCGGGAATGACTACGTTAAGGTTCTTCAGTGGGTAATCCCCGAGGGAGCGGGACATAGCAAGGATTCCCTGGACTCTCCACGATCCATTAAAACTGATGAAGCCTCCTAAAAGTAAAAAGAGTAAAAATTCAAATTTAAAGTTTAAGAATTAAGTTTAATCACAACCTATTTCTAACACTGCATTGAATTTAACTCAGTGATTTCCCAGAACAGACCAACAGATGGCGACAAAGGACCCCATATCCACAGCAGGTACACAACGCCTAAGCTTTATATTACACTCTTATACTCATTATTTACCTGCCCTCTTGATTCTCTTGCGCTCTTTAAGCTGATACGGCTTGTGGTCATGTGATAGGGCGACAGCATTCCCATCTTTGTCACACAACACACCACGCGAGTCTCCAACGTTGGCCACTGTGAGCTCTCTATCTGACAGCAGCGCCATCAGACATGTCGTTCCTGTGTGGGAAATTCAAAGAGAAGACAAAAACAAAAATCCAAACACTAATCATTAGTGATTTTTGTAGTGTAACCAGCTACAAGTAAAAAAAAAACCTTAAAATTGTTACAGGCACATCTTTGTGATCTTATATTATCCTCTAACTTTTTTATTTTAATCACACCACAAAATATAACATATTTTAGGGATTTGTTTTGCTGCTTCGCAAACCTGTGCACCACTACACTACAGCAATGCACACAGTAGATATGTTTCAAGTATGGGGTGTTTTTTGTTGTTGTTTTTAAGATTTCTTTTTTGTATTTTACCTATATTGTACAATGTAGAGGGTGGACAGAAAAGCAAGAAGAGGATGGGGGGATGACTTGCAGCAAACGCCACTCATCCCAGTGAGCTATAGCAGCACCTTTCCTGTAATGAATTTATTTTCACACTACCACAGAGGGATTTCAGAGGATAAAACTTAAATTACACCTTAAAGAATATGCTCGATGACATGTATGAATGTGAGCTTTAAAATAAATAAATAAAACATAAATAAAACAGAGTTTTCCATAATAAAGTTGCTAACCTGTGGGTCAATACTAGATCAAGCTCAATTATTAAAATGAATTTTATAGAGACACCATTGTGCCAGTGGCCAGTCATTAACTGTATCTTCACTATCCTGAGGAAATGCTGTGGCAGACTGTCACCAAAAAAAAAAAAAAAAACATCAATAATGAAAAATAATAGTAGGTCAAAAATATGAGGAAACTGTTTTCCCAGGCAGACGTATCAAATGCCACCAACCGATCAATCTGAACTGTTTCTCTGAAACATCAGCGTAAATCTGGATCAGCATAGTGTTACACAACCATCTCACTCTTCTAATTCAGCCAGCGTTTCGAGTGGGCTGTAGAAGGACTCGGTCAGAGACGTAAATGTCAGGTGGGAGTACGGAGATGAGAGGGTATAAGACAGGAAATTGTGAGGATTTTCTTTCATAGGTGAGGTTCTGCAATGCAACAGAGTCCCTTAAGAGGAGAGAGCGTGAAAATGAGAGTACTCGAAAGCATCGTTCTTAACATGCCAACTTTCACGCAAACAGCCAGCTTTATTTTAAAGTGCACTAAAGGAATACTCTTGACACTTCTTGGCAAAAGTGCTTGCACAGTGTATTTACAAGACATGAGAGACGTGCTTCCTCTATTTGTCTCATGTGGCAATTTTAGTTTCAAAGTTTCCCCCACACACACACTGACCACACATCTTTTTTTCCCCATTTCCTTCCACCCTCCTCCTCCTCCTTCTGACCTGCTTCATCGTGGTTTGCAGAGAGCTTGTCCAGCATGTCACGATCCACAGCCAGGATGCGCTGCTCGAGAATGCTGGCGTACGAGAGAGCGCTCTCTCTTTTCTCTCTCTCAAAGGCCTGCAGCTGCTGCTTCAGGGACTCGGGCAGGTGGGCCTTCACATAGTCAGCTGCAGCCTAAGACGTCAGAAGGGGAAGAAGGGAGGCACAGAGAGGATTAGACACAGGACAGTGCCTGTGATCATAACAAATAAGTAGAAAGAAATAGCAAACAGATGTTTCCTTAAACTGGTGCTGCCCAAAACAGAGCCAAAAATAAACAAATACTGAAAAGTGGTCAGCAGTCAAACTCTTTTTATTTAATGCCTGCTAGATTTGTATATTGGATATACTGTTTATAAATGTAATGTTGATTTCTGGTGACTTTTCATATAACTTTTGGTGCCGTAATATATGGATAGATTTCATCATGTTGAATAAATACAATGTTCCCCAGCTTTGAAAGACAGAATAAATAAGGTTATGATTCAGATTATTTTTTATATCTCGCCAGGCAACACAACTTTAATTTAGAGGAGTGCTTTAACACCAGGTGTTCAGAGCTGAATTATTGAGCAACCTCCTCCTCTTCCAGCCCACTCCTCCACCTCCTCCCTTCACATATCTGCTTCCACCCTCGTTTTCTCCGCCAAGATTTCCATTATGCTAATGCTGTCAAATCAAATCTAAAAACGGGAGCATTTTACACCATCTTGATGTCCCTGCATTCATATTTCAGATTCACAGCTCCTACGAAACGAGGACACTTTGTGCCCTTCAGTCCACGCGCTTTCATTTTGCTCCCTTCTGACGTGATGCAGTAATAAAAAATAATACTCGGGTTTATCAGGTTTATCCATGAGCGCAGTTGACATTTGAACCGTGATATTGCTCAAAATATTTACCATGAAGTATATGGAATGTCTAATTATGTCTAATTATCAGGAGGGACAAATCAAGTCCCTGTCTGCTTCCTGTGCTCAATGATCTATTTAATGGAGGAGAAGCACTGAGGGAGGCTGGATCAGGGAAAGAGCTTCAAGTGTAAATTTCCATTTGCAGTAAATAGCAGGAAATGCCAGACTGAGTGCAGTTACAAACCTCACGAAGGGCTCCAATATTTTACAGCCTTTACATTTAATCAGCTAATGTAAAATATCATCTCAGCCCCATTTAAAGTGAAAATACAGATTATGGATCTTGATTTCTTATTAACTGTGCTGTTTTATTAAATTCTACTTCTTCCCAGAGCCAGCATGCAGGATTGAATTTTAGTTTGTACAGCAAAGTAACGTGAAAGCCCGTTTAAGGTGTAAACTAGTCAAAGCAAATAGTCTCTTCCCCTGTAAGGCAAGTTAAAAATGAAGCAGCAGCTTGTGCTGACTTTTATATTTCAAGGCCACAATTTGTGCCTTGATAGAAAATAAAAACTGCAGAGAAAAAACACAGAATGTTTGAGGAATGTTGCGCATATTTTCAGAGCCAGGACACCCTGCACTCAGAGACGGCCTGTTCTATCTGCCCATATTTGGCTTGGCAGTATGGCTTCTTTCAATATTGGTGATGTGTGAGGGTTTGTGTGTGCTTCCAAATGCACGAAAGTGCAAAAAAAAGATCAGCAGCAAACAAATGTCACTTCCTACAGTTTGTGCCTGCATATCATTAGCATTGAGGGTCCCACATAGTTTGTTTTTACCAGAGCCTAGTTTTTATACTGGGAATTGTGGTTACTGTGCTTGCATGTTACAGCATGTGTTCTGTGCACTGATGCTAATGACCCTAAAGCAGCTGAGGTCGATGTCAAAGCAACCCAATACAAGTCCAAAACCTTTGTGACTACTGATAAAAAGAAGGGGGGCAAACCTGAGTAAAACACATATAAACAAACCAGACAGAGCAACACAAATCTGACTTGTGAACTACAGAAACTAAAGGGAGCAAAGAAAAACAGTAGACACTGAGTGTGAAAAGGAGAAAGAGGGTGCAAGATCGGGAATTAGAGGAAAGAAAAATATTTGTTTACACAGTGGAAAAAGACAGAAAGGCTAAACACAGTCTGTTTGTTTACCTCCCTGTGACTGAACACATCCGGACGCCAACAGTTACAGCATTTCTGGGAGCTAACAAACTAATGCCTGTTTCCTTAAGACAGAAAATTAATTGCCTGTGTCTAATGAATCCCTTAAGATGTGCTTAAAAGAGAGGATAGACTGGATGTAATCACCAACTCTTCTGATTTACTGTTTCAGATAGTTTTAAGCAAAAATCCCAGTTCCACTGTTTCAAGTCAAATGTGAACTACAGTTTGTTTTCTTGGCCTGTTAATGATACTAAACTGGATATTTAAAAGCTCTGAAGCGAAATAAGTTAGATTAAGAAATGAAAAAACATTTTCACAACTCCTTAATTTTCAAAATAAAAATAAAAACTGATATATTTATTAAAAAAACAGTAACACTTTATAATACCTCTTAGCTCATATTTCCTCAGATTTAATGTGGAATTTGAATGAAATTTGTTCTGAAATTAGGGTGCAATTTAATTAGGTACACCAGAATAAAGGGCTAAAACTCAAGTTTTGCTTTATACGTATGCAATTTAAACTTTTTGATATGTTTTATGGTGACCCCAATGAAAGCAAGAAGCTGAAACATGAACATTAAAGCTGTTCTTAACACTACAAGTGCTGCTCGAGCTTATTTCTCATAGGGCAAGGTTAAATAACTCCATAATAGGACCCAAGACCATAAAAAAAGGTGCAGTTACAACATTAGACAGGAGGTTAAACCACTCTTTAACACAGCCCACACACCTTAAAGTAGAATCTATTTATTATTATTCAAGATGGGGAGTTTAAGGTACTCCACAATACAACTGCCACCTCTAAAAGTAAATTATACTTATGATGTCAGAAAGGGGTTTAGGCCACTCTACAATACAGCCCATGGCCCTAAAGGTGGGGCATATTTACATTGTAAAACTGTAAGATTAAGCCACTTCATAAAATGGCCCACAAGTACATGTAAAGTACTTCAACTTACTCACTAACCTAAAAGTACTTACAGTAGAATTGCTACCCTTTTAATCACATGTAGGTTTCTTATAAGTATTTGCAGGTAAATAAAAATTCACCCAAATTTCATCCAGTTTCAAAAATAAATGTAAAATTTCAAGTTAAAACTGGAGGAATTACAAGCCAAGTCATGGACTGTATCATAAAGTGCAACAGATAATACATATGTGGAAAATATTCCAAATTAGAAATAAGATTTATGACTCAGGCTCGTTCCTATTTGCTCTACGGGAACAGTAGACCATTTTTATTGAGCATATACTGCATTTAGGGACAAAACTTCCTTTTTTCCATACTTTTATAGCTGCATGGTACTCTTATTCTTAGACGTTATCACTGAGTGAAATATGCAACAATATGTCCTATACTGGGAGCTCTGACAGTGGTGATGGTGTGACAGATGGCGCAGGACATTTGCTCTTCAGGCTATCCTGAGAAACAACTGACCCTTGATAACACGGAGACTGGAGCACACACACACACACATACACACACATACTACAAACCATTGTTCTTACACACACACACACACACACACACACACACACACACACACACACACACGTGATGAAATTTGTGATGAAATCCCAGTCACCTTATTTATTATCAGTGGTGTGGGTGTTCAAACAAGGGAATACAATGCCGGAGTGGGGAGGGGGAGCTCTCTACCACCCTTGTGGAAAGTTTGTAACGTTAACTTTTGTTATTTCAA